TCTATGAGGTTGTCAATGTCTACCTTCATTTCGTTGGATACCCATGGATTCGTAATCTATAAAAATGTATGAATGTTTGGAATGTGTAGAGTACACCAGTCCTGGTAATACTTTGTAATGAATTAACAGACAAACCTTTCAATTACATGTTCTTACTCTATATATTTTTATGGTAATTAGTATTCGTAGCATTGTGATATGAACAATTTACAAGTTTTTTATGACTTCTGTTTTGTAGTTCATCAGTATCATAAAATTTACATGACCACTTATTATACATTATACAAGAATTCAATAACGTTTGAAAAAAATAATAAAATCAAATATGCCGGTGCAAAGTCGTGAGCTTGTTGTTTGATGGGCGTTTGAAAACGACAGAACAATACTTATACTGGCCACTGGTGAACAAATATTTCAATACCTGTTATTATTTACCCTACCCGACAAAATATGTACTCCTGTTTACACTCGTCAGACACACGTGTACGGAAGAGGGACTGGTCAGAGAATATCCCGATCGCGTGTGCCATTTAATTGGCTCCTCCCCCTCAATTGGAGGGGCTGTCAGCACCCTTGTCGTTGACCCGTCTCACTGACTGCCCTCCCTTCAATAGAATAAAGAATGTCATTTGTAGTATTACAAACAAATTTAGTCGTGATAATAAATACGAGACGTTTAGAAAAATGCAATTTGCGTATTTTCCTTTTTTCTAACCCCCCCCCCCCCCCCGAATTTATATAACGCAATCTCACTTCTATTGTTGTTGACATGTTGATAATAGAGACGTATATAGTGTTGAGTCATGGTCTGCTAATTATTATTTTGTACGTCACGTGACACTTAAATGAAAGTACGTTTTTTTCTGACTGTTTGAAAAAACTTAACAAGACAGTTGATACAATATTTTTAGGAAATATCATTCATTCTTACAATCTAAAATTCAATAAAATATGAACAAGTTTTAATCTTTACATTGTGCATTTTTGTTTAAGGAAATATCATCCATAATAAAGTTTTCAAGTGTCTCGTGCAAATCTGTCTTTTCTTCATATTTTACCCAATTTAATTTTATTGATATTCCAATATTTCTTGCTGTTGTTGTAATATACGAAAACTGGTTTCGTTAGCATATTACGTAATGTCCCTATCCAACATTCGATTCCTGGGTAAGATTAAATTAAAAATAATCCCGAACGAGATTTTGAATTAGATCGTATTTTTCTCATTTTTTGACGATAATGAACACGTGGAAAGTGTTTGAATGAATGTATTACTCATTAAGACCTCCTTTTCACGTTTACGATCAGAATAGTATGTTTATACCCGGGGCCCCTCTTTAGCACTGTGGATAACCTTAGAATTGTGAGAGAATTATCATGTTTTATACGTGTGGTAAGCTTAACGCATCGACCTGGGTTTTTTTATGACATATTAAAAAATAATGACTTACCAACATGTGAGCATAATGCAAACTCACATTCAATAAAACTAGGACAGAGTATGGTCAACAGAAATATTTACACATATACTCGTGACGAAATACTAGGAGAATAAAACAAGTGTTCCGGAATATGGTGCTAATAATAAAATTTAGAGTTCCAGTAGTTTTGGGTAGAGTAGTTAAGCTATAGTGTTATAGATAGAAGTATTGTATAAAAGACACGAGTGAATATTATCTTTCAAAAGAAAATAATGAGGAAAAGGAGAAGATTGCAAACAAAGACACAGAGGTGAATAACACCTTTTAATACAAATTAAAATGAGATACAGTAGAGACAAACAATGAACTAAAATTTCGACCTCCTAGGACTCGTCAATAAATGTTGAGGGCCTGAATTGCTAAAACCTGAAAAAGTCTATTGAGAAAAGGAGAAAAATCCAAACCAATAAAAATATATGTCCCACACCAGAAGAGTTGGCGCACTTGCACTAAAATTAATAAATTTCGTAATTTTCAATATTTATCGATTTTTAAAGAATTTCAGGTATTTTGTGTATATTCTTCAGCGTGCAACTATCCGAAATCTATTTTTGTTTGTTGTTGTTTCAATGTTCTACAATACTCTCGTGAAAATAGGATTTCATCCTCACCAAGTTTTGATAAATATATACAATTATCTTACGTATATAGATATATAATTTTCATCAACTGACAATTATGAACACACATCTGTAATCCCTCAACTGACGAATCGAATCATGTAGATAGGATTCGGCTAGAGAGGCATATAAGTCTTAAATCACCAACAAATATCATGGATTGTTTCTTGTTTTATGTTGTGCAGTAAGTATCCACATAATCTCTCTATTGTAAAATATATATAATGACATTACTTTAGATGGATAAACTAACTCCATTAGCAATTAACCTACCGTCACTTAACATATACCATTACTTATATGAAGCATTCTAATTATGTATCTCTAGATATATTACATATATCTCAATTTAATGTCAACAGTGAAGCAAAAGGACGGAAAGATACATTTTATTTGTTTGATTCATTCTTGTTTGTAATGGATTTTTATGGAAGTAATACAGAATCATTTTCAGATTTGAAAACAAACAAAGCATATTTGCGTACAAAGTAGCCCAGTCTTGTTTCTGTGTTGAGTGACTGTGTCACTGGCTTAATACTACTACGATATCCTCTTCTCATACTCGGCGTGACAAAGCTCTCTGCCGCATATTCTAGCAATACCTGTTCACCTCAGTGTTTGTCCTATCAATTTCTGTAGTTAAATCAGCCGTGCACACCATATCATTCATGATGTTCAAATGACGATCTCGCGCCACGTGGCTAGCGCGCGGCAGTCGCGCGAACGATCAAGAGGCGACGGGTGTTAGGTAGAACCTGTATTTTTTTAAAAAGAAAAGTGGATGGTGTGTACCTGTTCGCATTAATAATAAATTCTATTCACTGAGTTGAACTGATTTGTCTGGTAAACACATTCATTTTAATCAATTTTGTTTTACAACACTAAACACGTTTAGATATATTGTTTCACACACTTGATGATATAACCATAGACTGTTTGCCTCATCCTTCAACTATCTGAAGATATTTATATTTAAACCACTGGGACTGGTATACAATGTTGTTGAACGCATAAAGGGTAATAAATTTATCATAAGGAAGCATTTTACCATTGTCCGCCACCAGTCAATCATTTGCTAGTGCCTAACTTCATTTTCTCTCATAACAACTTTCACGATGAGTTACGTTGTTCGAGTAGGAATAGATCTCAGCAGAATCATATAACATCTGTAATCATTGTTTCTATTTTCGCATTATCTTTATATATGGATTTTGTGTTTGCTATATTCACTTTTGTTCGAAAAAATGAAACAAGAAAAAAGAAATGAAGAAAATACTTTGTTTTACCTAATAAGATTAAAAGTTCTAAAACAAATAAAGAATATCAAAGAGATTCTTTTATACAATATTTTTATAGTATAATGGTGATATTTGTCATTTTATATCAATGTTTCAGTGAACCTTCTACTTCAAATGAAACATAAGAGGTCACGTGACGATTTGGATCTTTGTTAACTAGACGAAATATTTCTGCGTCCTTGGCAGTTGTAATCGGAGACTTCGCTTTCTTTAATATGGTATATATGATTACATATAAGTGTGATTAAAACACGTGTACCTAACATATATACACGATAGTAACAACTAAAGGTTTATCTTCCATGTTTTATCTGTGTTGTTTTTATATCAAGATAAGTAACGATATTTCGGAACATTATAGTTTCATTGTGTTATTCCAAATTTGGAAACGACATAATTTGATTAATCAAGTTATGTTATAGAGCGACTATTTTAGAGATTCAAATTATCCAGTAAATGTCTGACTGCACAGAGAAAACTTAAGTTTTAGTTTAAACTCGGTTATGGATCAATTTCCGTGACCCGATGTCAACAAAAAAGCGTGCAACTGGTATCATACATGGGCTGTCGCGTGTCTTTTTACAATTTGTCCCCATATTAAACTATCAAATTATGATGGAGATACCGTTGAGATACTTGGCGTCAAATGATTTCATTAATTGTACATACAATACAACTGTTCACGTTTAAATAATAGCATAGGAGATTCTCCATTGGTTGTTCATATCAATTAGTTATATAAAAATTAACACACTTTGTGTAATGATATTGGTGTTAATTGCATTGCTGTTGTAAGTTGAATGGACATTTAACTGATTAGGGAGCGATAAGCATCTCGGACGTAATTAGGTATCAATTTAAGTTACATCAATAAAATAGTTTTTGAAGAACATTTAAGCGCAAAATGACGAGTTCTAAATAAACAAGAGTAGCCGACAGAAACTATAAAAAGATTAAGAAAGATATATTCAAGGTTGAACGTTATATAATGCTTTAGTTTTAAAACATAAAGACGAATGGAGATGTTTTATTAACGATGGTGACAGCTGTATGGTATTGTTCGATAGCATACAACCGATTAATTGTGACTAGGATATATTTTCTTATAAACGACACTTTGCAAACAATTTAAGAGGGCATTTTTTAAAATCCTCAGTATCAGAGGTTTATTTTTTACAAATATGTTCAAATTTAAGAAACAGATGTTTGATTTGACAGCTCTTTGAAGCTCACAATTTGTTATAGTTACCATGATAGGATTCGGACCGCGATCAAATTATCGGTAGATAACCGGACAAATACAAGTTGTATTACGAATGTCGGAGACATCACGAGAAGTTCTTTGCTGTCGTGGTTGTGTCCTCGAGTTTGAGCTTCACCCAAGTTTTCTGAATGATGTTCGGCTGGCCTCCAGCATGATGGTCAATAATGTTGCCACCAGCTACTGGAAATTTGTCCTTCCACAAAATGACATTGTCTCTTCAATACACGGCTATCAAAGACCCAAACCTGACGTATCAATTATTATATCAAAACCAATATTCCCAGTTTTGTCTCTAAATGAATATGGTGTGGGTATATGTTTTAAATTCAACACAACATATCAGAAAGTGTCTTTATTTTCTTGAAAAAAATAGGTTTTATGTCTGAAACCAATGAAACCAAATCAAATTTATTAATATTAATATTGTATAAGTGTCATATGCGACGTATAACAGTGTGTGACACAGTTATCTAAGATATCTGCGTTAATACTTAATTTTATTTTTATACCGTACAGCCGGTTATTTTCGCTGTAATGGTATTTTCGCTATTTCACGGTACTTTAAAGTAATCGTGAAAATCTTGCCAATGGAATAATGAGACACGTGTGTGTTAGATGTCCTCGCACGTCCAGATCTCGATCAGTTTAAAGAAAATCGTGAAAATTTTGATCCGTGAAAATGATCACCTATACGGTATCAAAATTATAAACAGGCATGGTATCTAAAAAGTTCAAGATCGGATGAAAGTATAATTAAGAAAGAAATATATTCTACACATATAACATTCGAGACATTTAAACTCGCCTCCTATTTATACAACAGTAGCTTAACATAATACAAATAAACAACACTTTAGTTGGGACCTTCTCTGAAAGTAATTAAGATTATACACGCTCGTTTCTGTCTGAATAGACTAGATTGACACAGAGCTACTTATGTACAAGTTTTTTTCTCGGAACTTATAAATGACATCAGGTTCTATTCTTGCGTTGGACTTGGTATGTACGGATTTGCATCGGTGAGAGTTTGACATTTAGACTGTTGTTTCGGATTTTCGGTTCCATTGGAGTCTCTGAAATGGAAACAAAGTCTTAATGAAGTACAACAGATCAATTCAATAACTATTTTGAAGTCTTTGAAGGCTAGTATTTCTATTAAATCAACATTAATTGACGCAAATGAAAGCAGCATCAACTCGTCAGTTACATCAACAAAGCATTCTTAGAAATACCTATTGCCAACCAACCAAAAACTCTTTATAAAATGTACAAATAGAACGCCTCAAAGAAAGGGATTATCCTATTATAATCATTGACGACACAAGCCATGTAAAATAAAGTTTAATTCACTGAATGGTATGCTCTCAAAGTAAACATTGAAATAATGACAGCGGAACACGCTGCAGCGTGGACATTATCATCGTCGATAATTTCATTACATTGAAGAACATACAGTAGAAATTTTAACATGACGAATTCACAGCTTGACATTTTTATAAAGATTTGGTTCACAAGCCTGTACAAAAGACACACACACAAGTGAATAGAACCTTTAAATACAAATTTAAAGTCAGAACTGCATCACACAGCTATTTCGTTCTTCTAGGACAAGTCAGTGATGCTAACAGCCTTTATTTTGAAGCCTGTAAGGCGACAGACAGAATTCAAAAGTGATAAAAATAAAGGGAGGGGCACTAGACCCTAATGCAATAATTTTGGCCATTTCCATACTTTGAATAATTTAAGAAGAACTTAGAGAATACTTTCTTGTCTGTATGATCGCTTTTTGTGACAGTCTATCATGAAACAAATGTAACATATCACTTCATATTTTACAACACGTTATCGAAATTGAAAGTATATCAGATCACAAAGGTTTGTTAAAAAAAATTACCATCCATGTTGTCATTGACATCGGTCGTGTTCCATTGAAGTCGATGAAGATCTGACAGAACCAGATTAGCTCCAAGAGTGAGCTCTGTCACTGAATCGACTTCGAACGTCACAAATAGGTCCTGTAGACAAGTGAAAAAAATAAAGAAAATATGTCCGGAATATAAATCCCAAGCATGATTAAAATTTATTAATTTTTTTTCCATGTCTGCTTATTTGTAACTCGAATTTACGTTAAAGGGAAGTTAGTGCAAAAACGGGATCTCTTATTACATCAGGGATATAAAATGCATTTAACAAATGTGTTTTAGAATGTCCGTCTATAATACAGTCACATTTGTGGCAGTTTTCATGTGACGTGGAAAATATTGTTACAGTCTCAGAGAGTCCGATATCAATTAATTTTAAGTGTTGACACTATATTTGACTGTCATTTTGATTTGGAAAAAGAAAACCAAAACAATCATAACTGAAACTCTTTAACCAGGAAAACTCTCCGGAATCAGACTTTCAAACAACTGATAAAAATGATGCTCTAACCAAAAGCCTCTCCTCGCATTACTGTGTACAAAACGATTCATTGACTTTGATGGTTATATTGTATAATAAATGCATGTTAGTATTTTGATATATTCGTTATTCAAGTAGATGAACGTATATATAACATCAAGGAGCCTATAAAAGATACGAATTTATGACGGAAACACTATTTAGGAGTAAAACAACATACCTGGAGGTTAACAGTTGCATCCTTGGATAACTCCGAATGTTCACCTGTCTCAAATATATGCTCCAGTCGTATGATATAAGGTTCTGATGAGGCTGGAACAACGCCTGAACCTCCCCACTGTTCTAAGGTCAACAGATGTACGTTATCGGGTAGGTTGGTTTTCATGCCTGACCACTGCAGATAAGACAATAACACACCCAATTTAATATAACGTTACTTGAGGTAGACAAATATCTCCAATGATGTAAAGTCTGTACTACTTAAGATGATAAAACAAAAGTACAAATGATTTTCACAGCTAGAATTTTCGTCTATTTACCTGACACACCACAAAATTATAACTATTCATGAATAGTATGTTATGCAAGAGTAATTAGCATAAAAGATGAACATGGATTACATACCAAGAAAATTTGTTCGCTATTGTTTTAGTTGTCGTATTTAGTAAAAACACATATATGATGTTTCTATTTCTCGGGAAGAGTAAAATAGTGAGTTTACTGCTACTTATCCTATTTGTGAAAAAATACAATGTCTTATAAATTAAGCTAAATGTTTCAAAATTTCTACAACAAAGTTTTATACTATCTTTGAAACGAATTACATAAGGTTGTATAATTACCAGAGTTATATTATGCCAATAACAAATATACAATTACTCTTTCTAACTACTGACTTACAAAGGAATACTATTTTTTTTTTTTTTTTTTTTTTGATTTCGTTGCATTGCAGTGCCATTAGGAATGACACTAGAATGATGTTGTTGAAATTGAAACGAATGAAAATTCAAAAGTCAATTACTGTTATCCTTAATTGTTCTATGGAGATGTTTTGACACCTATTGATATTATAATCTTTTATGTTTAGTGAAAAAAATCTTATTCAAATACAGTTGAATTCATAATGGGTAGATAAAGATATCAATTTAAGGATGTGAGGTAAATATTTTCGGAGTGAATAATATATTGATCTGGTTTCAACAATACACATAAGTACATATAAGACCACAAAATCTTCTCGATCTGTCTCTCTATATCCAAGTCTCACATCGACTGCCAAGTTTATTGCTACACCATATAGAAATAGAATGAAACGAAGGGAAGTAACTATGGCAATTGGTCAAATGAGCGTTTCCTTTGATCAAGATGAATACTGAAAAATTACTTCAACAGAGATTTTACTCATCTCATTGATGCATAAACTTCACCCTGGTAAAGAAGCATTTGTGATTAGAAGACAAAATATTGGAGTCGCACTTTGAATTTCCTTGAAAGGATACCCATGGTATACTTTGTGTAACATTAGCTTTTTTTTTTTTTTTTTTTTGATGCACTGTTTGTTTTAAGAATAAGCTAAATTCAAGAACCTGTGTTTGGAAGTGTTTTGTCCAGTTGGCATACTTCATCACGTTAGGCATGAACGACAGCGATGGAGCCATAAACAGACGTAACGCCATTCTGCGATGAAATGCAGACGACTCCCCGAACGTTCCAAGGAAGACATAGTGCTTTCCTGTTTTGATGAAAGAACACGAAATCGAAGATGTGGGATTATATTTAGTGTATTCTGAGAAATTTTGTTCTTTTGAAGAGAGAGTGAAGGAAATGCATGCATTCATTACAGTCAATCAGTGTAGGCATTCGCGTTGTAATGATTTCCACATTTTTCATATTTTTTTCTCTAATAAGTCCGTTTTGGTACCTCTGACAACTAGCCCTTTATGATCCAGACCAGTCTCATTAAGAGCCTCCCCAACGCCAAGTCCATCGTCATGTAGTAGTCTGCGGTGTACCTGCAATGCATTAACACCTTCACGATCACATCAATATGGATGGCACTGCTTTAATTCCAAAAGGTAAACAAAACACATTAATTCAATAATTTTCCCAAGACAAATTATTCTAATAAATACTCGTGACATCGAAATCGGTAAGACAGAGGCGTTTCCGTTACTGTCTAAATTTAAGCGAACAGTTGGAAATTATCATATCTAACTAACCATCCTACATACACATATTAGCACCATCTCATTTCATATATCTGAACTACAAATACCGTCCAGATTTTCACACCAGAAATAACGTAATTCAAATAAAACATTTTTAGTTAAAAAAAAAAGAGAAAATGGCGACACCTTGAAGTTTGTCATCCAGTTATAAGATTACATAAAAGGAATTACTTTTTATGATGGAGCAATCATTTGATACATTTGATGTGTAAATATAACACTATCATATTATCTTTAATTGCTTTTCGATGATTTCCATTTCAACTCCACGTGTCCCTGTGACAATGCCAATGACGTGATAACTTTTCTTTATCTCGAGAGACGTTGTCCTATGATGTGACGATTACCATGTGGCCTTACCATAAGTTGGATACCGCCATCATTGATACTACTGCCTCCCTGACTCCTGTCTGTAAGGATCGTAAACTGGACACCCAAGGCTTCATCCTGCCAATTCAGAACAAAGAAATGTAATCAAACAATTCAATACGCTGTGTGATTACATGTACTGTCATGGCATTATTGAACGATAATAGTTTACTCATATTAATAAAAACAGCCAGTAAACATCCTGTTAATACTTAAGAATTTTGCTTACACACTAATCAATAATCCACATGATCTGTAAAAACATGCAACGTTCGTGTGTTAATTTAATTTTGCTGAAAACTAACGTCATAGTGATGTAGATTACTATGATAGAAATTACAGAAAAAATCTTACTTTGATAAATATGCGACTGTTGACAGGATAGAAGTTGCCTGAAACTGGTTCAGTCTGGTACAAATTCCAAGTGGCTCGGTCATTCCGCCTGGACGTTTATATTGTAATGTTAGGAATCACATGTATATAATATTTTTATTTTTATTTTTTAATTTCTGTCAATGGTTGTTAGGATATTTTAACCATTTGTGTGGTAAATGCTATAAGTTGACATACAGTAGAAGGAGTAAATATCTTGATGTATTAAAATACTATGACGCGAAACGTTATCCTGATATTTGATTGAGGTTCTTGTATGATTAAGTTGGTTAATATTTTCCACTTGTGTTTTTACTTCTCTTTGAAAATATATTATTCAGCAAATTATTTAGTAGACGTTATCTTTCTAATTATTTCAAAATATGTTCTCCATTTAAGGCAAAACGCCGTATGTTTTGAAAGGTTGAATGCTTTCTGAAGGCTGGAAGATTAAGATTCCAATAAACTTACTTGCGTTTCAGGATTTCTCGTCCATTGGCGTCAGTGTAAAATGTTCCCTTCGTATCCAGCGTTGTAAGGAACTGAGAAACTACTTCTTTTCCAATTCCGTCACTACAGAAATGAATCTAATTAAAAACTATACGAGAACATCCCTTTTCAGGAAATTGTATTATTTTTTTACACATGATTTTTTATTAAAATGTTATCTCCCTGACAAACCCTCTGTTGCGCATGAATTACGCTTTTAATTATTAAACTGTTCTCGTCTCACCTCACCTCTGTTAATATTTGATGCGTGATGAATATTCTGCTGTTCCATTTTTGTAGCATTGTATAATTGTAATCTTCATTTCGGCTTAATGAATATTCGCATTTTCACTTTTATTTCGTCTCCCTTAAATTCCTTAGCGATGAATGTTTAAAACATGTAGAGCATATTTTTATAAATAACTTACTCAACTGGAATCGGTCCGACCGTCCACTCGAACTCGGCATACATCTCGTCTTCATATAGCCGTACGACTTGTGTTACCCATGGGGAGAACCTCTGATGTACTTCCTGAACAACTCTCCCCTTAAAATATGTCTGACAATGTTAGATATGTGTAACTATTGAGACAATTTTCTTTGCTAGAAAAAAAAGATAAAAATTTACATTCTAAAACATATTGTGCATACAATACTGTGTACATTTCTAAGGGTACCTGCAGATAGATCTTGATGTGTCTGTGTTTCTCATAGCATGATTCGTAAGAGCAACAGGTTTTGGGATCTAATGTTTCCTCTAACTAAAAACAAATTGGAATGTCTCCTATGATTTGACCTTAAGTAGAACGTTCTCTGAATGAAGGTTATGAATTCTGTTGCATGGCCGATAAATACCACTTTAATGATACGCATCTCCGATGGTGACCGGAACAAGATAATTCAATATCAAATGAATTCCAACGTAAAATGATAGATTTCCATTTAGGACAGCGTAATTTGTCATTCTTGAGAGTTACCGCAGTAAACCATAGACTTCATATTTTGATTTGGTGGACCGCTTTCCTTAATTTTCAGAAATATTGAAATAAATATTGGTGTTAAAATTGAAAGAAAACAGGAAAAAAACTCACAGTGACCTCCTGGCCCTTAATCATGAAATATATTTTCGAAAATTCGATAAGGTCGTTATAAAGGTTAAATAATAGAACGTGGTGAAATAAAGTATTTAACCATGTTTCAAGATTTTCATTTTCGGTTGCTATGCATTTTCAAATTCGATAAATGAAATGAAAATTTAGCATTTTACATTATTTCTGAATATCCAACTATTATACTATGATTTTTATTGAAAGACGAAAATTCGTTTTGAAAACATTCCTCGAGCAAATAGCAAAGAATTTATTTTTAATTCAAGAAAAGAAATTGAGAGTAATATTATTTATTTTCTTTCGCACATATTCGAAGCGTTTATCGGAAAACGAAGTGCAACAACATGTTGATTTTTTAGCTTTTGAATTACATTCTAAAATGTTACCTTTCAAACATTCATCACTGAAACAAAAGTTTTGACTGGTGGTCCGCACAACCACAATGAAATTTACGCGAACGTGCCGCTACCTCACACAATCACCTGCACTTAACATACACAGGCCGCCTTTAAATGACTTGAGAGTTTGATAGAACACATAAAGCCAAATTCAGTGGAATCAATATCAGCACTTATTTTACGATCACTTATGTTATTTAAAGTTCAACTTTAAAATCATTTGATATATCTTAAACAAATTTGAACTTGAGACAAAACATACCTCTCTCATGTACGATCTCTCTAATTGTTTGGCATGGAATGCTTTTGTAGTGTTTGGCCTGAAAACGTAAGCCCCGGATGCCTGTAGAGCACCCATGGTGTTGTTGCCAGTATGCCCCTGGTAGTAATAGAATCCCTGCTGCAGGCTGATCTCTATATCGCTATTGAGGTTACGCATAGTCTTCAGTTGCCCACTGGTCCCATCAAATCTCAGACTCACGTGCTAGAAGTTACAAAACTTTTTTTCCCATTATAGACGTTTGATATAACATTTGTTAATGATATTAACATTATCATACTTCAAAAAAACAAAATGTCCGCACAAAATCGAATTGTTTTCATGATGCCAATGAGCTGTGGTAATTTTGATTTTTGTAGTACTTGTCAGGGATGAAGAAATGAAGAGAAAGGGAGGTAACTACTATTTCCATTTGGTATGCGCATGTGTTAGTTTCTAATAATTTCTATCTCGATCATTAATCTAAATCTCTCCTGAAACCTAGAAAATGTGTAGACATAAAATTCTAGCTTGCTTACCTCATTTTTCAAAACTGTATCTACGCCTTCTTGATTTTTCACCAGTCTTTTCTTGCTTGTTGTTTGCGCAAGTTTGACCCTTGCCTCTGTTAATTAAGTAATATGAGTTAATTCAGTTAAAAAACAACAAATGCCATGTATGTTTACAAATAATTAATTATAATCCCTCGTTCTGTATTTAAAAATGGTGTTTTATATCTTTTATATAATATTGATGTTATATTAGTGTTACATTTAACTCGTAAACAGATCCTTATGATAAAAGATGAACGCACTGTTACTTTTCGAGACGAAATATACACTGAATCCAAGAGCAGGGACACTTGTTCTGAAAACAAGCTCGTTTTGGGCGATGGATCCTTGTCTTTCTGGAATACGCTTTGTATCCTTGGTCAATGGTACTATCTTCAAAACAGAAGAGGATTATACAAAATTTCAAAAAGAATTTGGTTTGGTCAATTCCCTGTCTCTTATTTAGACATTGAATGAAACATTTACAAAAGAGAAAAAGTATTTTTGAAGTTTTTCCTCTTGACACAACTTTAAAAAGCATGTTAAGTTAGATCAATATTTGTAATGAAATGAATATGCGCCAAAATTGATGGGGTAGTTTACCTGTGAGGGAACATTTTTGTTATCAGGTCCTTTCACTTGGTAGGCTTTACCAACTATAGGTATTCTAACCCAGGATGTAACAGCTTGCCCGAGGGGATTATAAACCGTCAAAGTAAACTGAAAGAAACCGTGTTACAGGACATCAATTAATTATTACATACAGGTTATATAACATTTATATATCAGCAGTACAAAGTTGTGTAAAATTTTGCGTCATTTCATTTTACTCAGCAAACATACCTGTCCGTAGTTTTCCGTCAAACCACAAACACTGATGTTGAGTATATTGCAGAATTGTTGGCCTGGTGGTGAGTATGATGTATTCAGTGGAAGTAACTTCCCATAGGCGTCGTTTACTACTTTCTGAAACAGATATCACCATGTCTTCAATAATGGGTTATTACCATTAGTATGGACAACGAACGGACCAAAATACTTTGAAGGTTGACAACTGTCAAACTTGAAGGGTTTCTTTCATCGGTCATAGTAGTTTAACATCAGATTCGCACGAAGTTTCCTTTCCAAGGCAAGAGTGTCTTGTATGGATGACGTTATAATTGAATGACGTATAAGAAAAATAATCTGTTTCATATTTTCGGTACATTAATCATACATAGAAAATATCATTAAAATGATATAAGATATGATGGCAGTTCCAAATATATAATGTTTTGTAAGATTCATATCAGTTGTGAAGGCATGTTGTTGGTTGTGGACTATCAAATATATTAAAATCAAGGAAATCGCAATAAACGACTGCAACTCATTAATTACAACATTTTAGTAATATTATAAAGTATGCATGTCTATATTATGCATACCTGGCACGCTGCTACACCATGTGCTAACCTCTGGGCATAGTCATAGGCAACTGGTTGCTTTTCTGTTCCTCTAAACAAAGAGTCGTTATTTATACAAATAATCTATTTTTGAAGGCAAAGTTTTATCCAGTATATTTCTGTAGTTTTATTTTAATATAATATTTTATTGGAAATCACACTACACTATTTTATCGATCAAGAAATGTGAGAGATATGAAGAGTTTTAGGTAATCAATATGTATTAGTTGTTTATAAATTATCAGACGATGACGCCACATTATCAACATATTGTTTTACATTACATCGATTAAGATTTGCTATAAATAACTTACGATACAGCATCATGATGTTGGGCAACTCCCATAGCTTCCTCTGTCAACAAACAACACGTAATTTTACGCAATAAATCAAGCTTAATCATTAACATAACATAGATAAGTAATCAGGAAGTAATTCAGTTAGATCTCGGAAAAACAAAACAGGAAACAAAACAAAAAATAGAAAGCAACACCTTCAAAACCCAATTCAATCAAAGCCTTATAATTACAATCCTAAGTATCTATACACGCCGTCATATTGTTGATTAAGATATTGACTTACTATCTCGAAATTTCGACTTACTGACTCGAAATTCGACTTTTTATTTATTCAAGATTACTAACAATATTATTCACCAAATTATGGATAATAATTCTTTCACAACAAGCAACGTTACGTACCGTAGGTATTTATCATGTTATTTAGTTTAACAATTCAATTATATATTTAAAGCTTACAATCTTTATAGATGAATTTATTACGTAACTTTGATTAAACTTAAAAGAAATTGTGTCAATTAGCGAATCCTACATGCATATTGTCTAAACTAGTTGTTTACAACTTAAATAATTTAAAAAAAACAACAAAGTATGATTCGTGAAACACAATTGCACAAAGCATTTCTGATTTCTGAATTCTCATTCTCCCTGCTGCAAGTCGAAATGAGTAAACTACAATATAGTTTTCACTTACTGAGAATTCGAATTTCATACGTGCTGTTGTCAGTGTCCTCAAGTGCAGCGATAGCATCCATCTGCTTACATACCTAGAATTATTGAAAATAAAGAATACACGTATATCCTTTTTCTTCGACAAATCATTCGTCACTTTACTGTTGACCAATCATGACTACATAGTGACGTTTCCCTAAACTTAGCAAACATCCTCGGTAAATCCGAAGAATGTACCATATAACCTCGTTATATGAATTTTTGTTATTGCCACCGACACATTGCAAGTTCAATTCAGAAAAAAAACTCTTGCCACAATTGATACAGTAGCTTTCCAAACCCTTCTAAGTTTTAGAACGACATCGGTACAGCGATACTTTGGTGTGAAAATGAACTGCATCTTTTACGAAATCCACAGATCATCAGGCTTTGAATTTTCTTAGTATTTATTTCAGAGGAGAAAGAAGAAAGCCCTTGACTCTTTAGAGACCAGTTACATTTAGTATATAGTGTAGATAAGAAGTATACTTGTTGATGCGTTCATGAGAAATCGCTTGCTTCAGACGAACTAACACACAGACGCACGGACGGACAGATAGAAAAAGGAATTGTTAAACAGTATATAATAATTACACGTTTGTCCAACACCAGTATTAGTTAACACATTGTCCTAGTTACACACTAAAACTGCCATATTATTTTTATAATTTATGCTTTACAACACCTGTAAGAAGTTGTTGGTGCGTCTGACGTAATCCTTGAGAGCTGGACGACTAGAGAAATAGCCGGTCCAGAAACTGTGAGGCCGGTGTGCATATGGAAAGAAGTCGTCCTCTTTAGTCGGCCAACGAACTGCTTCTTTATTGACGCTGGACAAGTAACACGAGGGCGTGGAGTACAGTAAGTTTACATTGGTTTTGTTAGACTGAAAAACAGAAAAAAAAGTCATGGTTAAATCTTAAGAATTGTTTCGCTCTTACCAACTATAGACACCGGGAAATCGTGAAACAATCTCTCCTGAACTCGAATTGTAAGTACACCTACGTGACTGATAAATGTATACCACAGCAAATAAATAATTACTTTACTAAAACGCATATCTAGCATGATGGACTGGTCATTTTTCACGCATTAAAGATATTTAACAACTATTGGTAGAAGTATTCTGGTGGATATGAAAAAGTTTGATGTAATTACCATATACATACATATGGTATACATCACTCACAAACATATATTACTCGCTTTGATATAAACAGATAATCAGATGTATGAATTACAAAAGAGAGGCCATTTTGGTTAGGATGGTAAACAACCCTGTCATGACTTGTTGGTTACTCAGTGATAAATGTCTTTTACACTTAATATTTGGATTAGTACAATAGTAACGAGGCATGCATTAGTAACGTAAGGTTGATATAGTTAAGTTGGTGCTTAAAAATATAGGTAATGAAATTTATCCCCAATTCTTTCCGCCCATATTCGATAATTTTGGAGAATATTAATCATCTACTTGTTTCAACTAGAAACTTTTACTTCGATATTGATGTTCTCTCAGATATGTTATGACAATTATGATACATTTTCCTAAATAAATCATGATTTTATTTGAGGAGGAGTAATGCGCATGAGAAGAGCTAGCAATATCAGTGAACCAAGGTTTATGAACTTATCAATAAGCCGTTGTAATTTATCTTTGTAAAATCTATCAGACATCTGTAATTCATTATCGGATCGAATTATAGAATGATTAAATCCAGTTTCGTTGAAATGTCAAACAATTTGAACGAAAAAGTAGAGTCATTATGCAAATATAAAGCTAGTCGAAGTAACATGAGTTTTCATTTCTAGTTAATCTTTTACAAAAAGCTTGCATTCTTAGTTAGTTCCAAACGGCACACGTCCTAACACGCAATAAATCATAGAATTGGTTGCGGTAGATTTCAATAATTATTTCACAGAATTGTAGAAAAGATATCGAGTTGATATACATAAATAATAAAACATAAAATAAAATCATAAAATCCACTTACTTGGTTGTTCACATATTTGATCAGCTTGTCAAGATTCTTGAACCAAGCATTAGAGCTTTGATAGTTGAAGTCACTCCCCATTGGCATAAGAACATGTTTGGTGGCGTATGCATTTGCCTGTGATACGCATGTCATAAAAATATATAGTCAACCTGGTATATGTTTTATATACATGTAGTTAATTATAATAAATATGATTAAAAGGCATTCATCATTCACAGAAATTTATTCAATTTATCAAACTATTCAGACTAAAGCCTACAAATAAAGTATCAGTTCTTTTTCTCAGAGCAATTAGTAAGCATGGAACGAATCTAAATCAGAAACAGCAATACCAACACACATTTTAATTATAAAGTACTAGAAAGATATCCATTTGTAAAGTTACTTGTATACAGTTGTAAACCTTATCGTTCTACTGATAAAATTAAACGAAGGGAAGTAACTCTGGTAGGTCAGCTTACCCAGTCCTTGGAGGCGTTCACAAACTTTTCTACCTTACGTGGAACATTGTAGTCATGCATGCGGTCATCATCCTGTGAATCAAACCACACTGAAAGATTGTTATTATGAACACATGCTCCAGGTCTTCAAAATGTATTTAACCTTGTTCTTGATATACATAATGCTATTTATTACTTGGAAAAACGAAAGAATGTTTTCGAAAAGGGTGATATATATTTAGATTAAAACTATACAAAATCATACTTTTCATTCAAAAACGGGTTTGCAGCTTACTTGAAAGAGGAAACATATTTTTTTTCGTTCATTTTTTTCAACTATAAATACATCTGGCATCACGACAGTGTTATCTGTGAAACAATTGGGTTTTTCAAATTATTTTGTGTCAAATTTGGATTATATTGTTGAACTTGCTGAATTGTTAAATTACCCAATTATTCAACAGTTTTTACCATAATAGGGTCATCGGTACATAACAGATCAAAGCAGAACCCTTCAGGTGGCCCGTAACCGTTGTACAGGGCGCCGGTGAACAGGTCTGCAGTCTTCTCTGTGATTAATCAACAAAATATATTGGAGCATCCCTTACCATAACAAATCCATTTTAACACATTAATATCGACTATGGTTAATTGCTTTTGCTTGCACTTCGGTAGGATTTATCTGATGTATCTAAATTTTCTTTTGGCAGGTTACTATGGTGGTTAAATCTCCGAGGTAATCAACTACCGAGGTAGTTTTAAATATTAACAGGGCGTTCAGAATAATTAACACGATAGTAATCGTTCGGGTCAGATTATTTTAAGAATTCTAAGAAAAATGTTCATGACAATATATGATTACATTCAATTCAACTTTCCTCGGACAATTCTTACTTAGGTTGGTTGGGCTCCCTTTCCACAACATCTCCATGCTCTTGGTTTTGATACGCTCATCTTTGTCCTGATAGTCTAATCTCCCGAAGAATAGCCCGTCAAATCCCATCTATAAAACACGTCGATTTTCCATATGACTTGGCATTATATCTAATGTGCAATCAGAACTAAATGGTCAATACATAGGACTTACGTAGAGCTTACATCTATTCAATAGGCTTTTGATTAGAACATCAGCAGGGACTTAAATTTACATACGCAAACATATCGAAATGTAAAAATGAGAAGATATACTAACATGCATAAGTTCAACAAGAAAAAATAACTTATTCTACATGTGGTTTTGTATTTCAAAGAATTGTCTTGCCTGAGCAAAAAGCGAAGCCTGTTCCCGGGAGTGGCCAAAGGGATCGATTTGCCATGCCACTCGCGGACGACCGCAAACTCCGAAATTCTGTCGCAGGAACTCAAAGCCAAGGGTGTGTTGGTCTATGATGGCGTTGTAATGAGTGGAGGCTTCATCGTTCATACACCAACCACCCAGGATGAATTCAAGTTGGCCTGTAAAGATCAGATTTGTGCAATATTTAAAAACTGTGCCATGTCAAATGTTAAAATAGTGACAAGGGTATCAATATACTATATAGACTACTACCTAATCATTCAATTCTCTTTTTAATTGAACATGTGTCTCGTAATGTTATCACTTTCTTAATTCCTTTCTAATTTTTTCCAATTCATTTCATGGCTCCTTAAACTTTAAAACAGAGATACAGTGAAGTTTTATTTATATATCGCCCTAGTTTAATAAAATTCCGCGTGCGAATTAAGAATCTGTTGACTTTTTGGGTTTTTTTAGCTAGCAGTTTATATCTTTATTTTTTGATTGATATTTAAATTTGCACGGCATAGTAAGGGATAAAATGTAAACATTCATTAATAAACTATGTTAAACTCTTGTTGAACTGTGTGAGAAAGTGTGTTCTACATTTACCAAATGATAAATGCAGCCTGTAAAAGTTCATATCGACACAGAACCATCCAGAAAACCAAAACACCAAACAAAATATCGAAACATTGCCTGTATATACATTATGTGCAAAGAGGTGGATGGAAAGGGGGAGTCAAATAAAAGCAAAGAACATCCTACAACTATGAAACCAACGCCAGGCACAGTTACTTAAGCATTTCCTAGCGTATATTTGATTATCAATAGAACGTTATGTAAATGTATCTAAAGAGTCATCACCGTTGCTCGTTTGTTTGAATATGTTGTCCATTTATCTGCCTGGTGCATGTACTAAATTTATTGTAGAAAGGTAACGTCGAGGAGGATTGCCGACTAAGTTGGATTTTCCTAAAACTCTATTGATAATGTAATGCATCCATAATACCATTTCTCTACCAGTGTTTGACTAGACAGTAAGTAATCTTACCTCGATTGACGAGACCCTTGACAGTATGACGCATGCTATCACTCTGCTGCCGCCACCATCTAGCGAAAAAGGCCACCTCAACATAGATAAACCTTTTGGTGGGATCACTGAGGAGCTCTTGCACAACTGAGTCTAAAATGTATTGTACTCCTGCTCTCTGAATGTTGCTCTTGTCTGTAAAATTTCATATCATATTTAACAGACACGTTACTTGCGGTAATCCCTACTTAACCTTTAAAATAAAGCTGATGTGGGTTTTTTAATAGAATTAATAGTTCATAAAAATATAGTAAATTAATATTCTAATTCTTAATATATTGTCTTGTAGGATTTGATCAGATAATTATTCAATAACATGCCTTAAACATAATAACTTGTTGATTTTTTTCACAGTTACTCACACATAAACACTACTGAAATGTGTTTATAGCCATATTTTTGTCACTGAATGATTGTAGGACAAGACAACAAAAATATACCTCCGTAGAAGTACTGGTCAACAGTCTTTAACCAGCCTACGTCATCATGTGTGTGAGGTACCAGATGGACGTTGATCATCCCTTCCCTTACTGCATTACAGCTCTGCAAAGGGTATTCAATAGCATAAACAACCTAAGGATACGAGGTGAATGAAAGAAATGTATATAAATAACTAGGAATATGAAAATACGTATCCTGGAACTGTAATCAACGACATTCACCATGTAATCCAAAGCAAAACCACGTAAGTAATGCTATGTTCCTAAAGCAGTAGCAAAGGTAACATCCTTACCAAAACAACCAGGCATACTGAAGAGCTTCAAACACATTCATATCGGAAAAGGAAATATGAAAATATCCCCAAAATTATTCATCAAATCTGCGTTTCTCGACCCTCTGATATGCAAATTGTCGACATTTTCCGCATATTACTTGATTTTGTGGACATAAAAACATCATAGATCATGGATGCTTGATAGCTATTTTCTAGAAATGGAAAATCCGATAGGGATTCTAACTTTCCTTGGTGATTAAGTTGTAAATACGACATTGAGTAGCAAATATACAATAACTTGTCATAAACGTGATTTCTTACTCTGGTAGGTAAAGCTGATGAACAACTAATTTTTAGCTATTTAGATACAAGACATAATTAATGTGTCGAAAAATGAAATCTAAGGACATGGTAAGGAGACTGTAACATCGGGTTTATAAACTCTTTTCATTTCGGAAATAGAAATTGGAAATGTAGTAGAGGCGAAGTTAATAAAGTTAAATAAACAAGAAAACTATTGCTGTTCAGTTTTTAATATCAATTTCCCTTGTTATTGTTATTTCTATGAATTATTTATATAGAAATATAAAAAACCGCTTATATGAGGATATTCGGTATTCAGACATTATACTTACCCCATACCCACAGGACGGGTTGCTGTCTACAGTCTGAAGGAAAACGACGATGAATACGAAGAGATGCAGACCTGACAACACAGCCATTTCCATACAGCTGCTGGACCTAACTTGCCAGTGCACAACTGAGCGAGGTAAGCGACCTCAAACACTGGTACACTAGATGGCCCCTCACCTACATGTACCGCCACTTAGAAGTGGTCTTTCCGCCGCAACAACAGGAAATTTTGCAAAGGTCAAGAGGTTTGGTTTTGTGTATACAAACATTTCATTACTCCATACGGGGAGAATAATTGATTATTTTTTTCGAGAATTCTTCTTTGATTATTTATAGATAGTTTTTCTTTATCATCTAATCCGTATTTTATAGATATCGCTCACCAGACTGAATTACATTATATCCTACTTAGCTGTGTTAAAGCAATTTTGTGTAATCCTCTTCTGGCCTCTCAGACACTCATTTCAAAATTAGCATAAAGGAAACAAACAATCTATTACTTCTTCAAACCCGTGAATATCACATCTTGTCCACCGAACTATAACTACGTTCGCTTCACAATATGAACTGGTTAAATGACAATGAACAATGTAGATTTTTCTTCAATGTGTAGATCGCTAACAGATACATAACACAAACAAAATGTCAGAAGTTAAAGTTGTAGTCATCTGTCTGTTAAATAAAAATTAACAACGTTACACCAGCATTTATTATGCAAACTGTTTATAATATCCTCCGGTAGATTTACTTATAATGCATAGTTTTCATAAGGATAGATTTAATAAATAAAAATTATGATAAGTTTATGAAAGATAATTCATTTTGCACAAATCATTAATTCTATTATAATTAATGCATTCTCACTATTCTTTTACTTTATGCTAATAGATACTAATTACAGCATTAAACAATAAATTTATCAAAGTGCAACCAGATATGTTAAACACCACAAGAGGCAATTTAAAAAAAAAAAACACCAAACAAAACCACAGAATCTATCTGAATCTATCTAGAAGGAAGGGTAGATATTTTCTGGCCACTTGTAGTATTCGTTATTAAGAATAGATATATAGGTCGCCAACAATGCACGGTCAAGGTTATCGAGGTAGAGGCTGGATTGTTTTGAAAATCAAGTCAGAGGTGCTAAGTGATTAGGACATGCATATTTTCTCAGCGTTAAAAAGACAATTACATGTAAAAAACATAGATAATTAAAATGCATACGTCGTTAAATACAACAAAGCTTGCTTTATTTATCACATCTTATCGAGACAACCTATCGAGAAATTACTGAGAAACAAAAATATCACATCTTATCGAGACAACCTATCGAGAAATTACTGAAATGTTAAAATATAACATATGATATTATATACGTTTGTTTTTATATCAAATATATATAATGTCAATGTTTTACAGTTTATGCATGTATATCATATGTAATGTGTGTAGTATCCGTTACCTACATCGATATCATAATCAAACAGTAGGTAATATTGACATATCTACTACGGTTACCTTACTTACTAGTGTATGTAGTATCTTTTATCTGATGAGATAGATATAGCACGTTACAGACCAGCGTTATCACAACATTACAATATCACTAACAATTCATTTCAAATAAGGGATGCTGTGTTCCCTGCTCCTCGTTTTCGTGGGTGCAGTCCTCCCCTTGGGGAGTGAGGCACGCCCGGAGTTCACATGGAGGAATGAACAGGAACCTGTCGATACGTGTGGCTACAATGTAAGCATAAAGAGAGTGTTACATATTAAATTTGTAATTTTATATTTTTCGTTATCATTGGTGGTCCTTTTCAGTATGCCTCTCTGTATTTGTTTAATAGCGCTTAAAGCTACATGTTATGAAGCATCATTTCATATTATGAAATATTTTGTAACCTAATAATGTATTTTTTTCGGAACCATTTTTGGGGAGCTGAAATATCTGTATGTAAACAAAAATATTGTCTCGGGTTTGGATGAATAACAGTTATATGCCTTAAGTGTTAGGAATAGTCTTTTTCATATTCAAACATTAATCATTCACCCCACCACGGATCTTTCATTTGTATCCAAAGTTATATGTCTAGTGTGTTATCTTCATAGTTTCTTCCTGTAATGTGTTTGAATCGATATAAAACATAAGTGGTTTTTAATATTTAAGATTAGCTGCTCAGTTATTGTACTCTGTTATATCCGTACGTTCCCCAACAGTCCTGTCCTCAGACACGAGACGACATGTTGAACGTCCATTTGATACCTCACACACATGACGACGTTGGCTGGCTAAAGACGGTTGATCAGTACTATTACGGAGGCGAGTCATCCACGCTTCAGAATATGATCTTTCGGTTTAGTTTTTTGTCTATAGCTAGATTAATTATATTGTTATATTTTCTTTACAACACTAAACACTTCACTATTTATTTAAATAAATATATTGAAAATAAGAAACGATAGTTTGAAAAAAAAGGATATCACAAAGTCTGCTAAAATACAACACGTATATATGTATAATTACAATAGAAAATTAATTTTATCTAAAAGCATTAAATACTTCTGATGTAATTAACGATCTTTATCATTGGCATTAAACGAAATTGCCAAGCACCAGTATTTAACACTCACATGTTCGTCTTTTCTTTTGCTCATGTTGTGGTTTTATACAGTAGATCTCAATATTGTTTGTTTCTACATTTTCATATCATGCATGGTTCCAGATGATACTATACTTTGTTTTATGGTGTTATATTTTCTTCGTTTTACTCCCAGACCAAAATTCTATTCAGACTGCTGGGGTACAATATATCTTAGACTCCGTTATTCCGGAGTTGTTACGGGATCCATCCAAGAGGTTCATCTATGTGGAAGTTGCCTTTTTCGCCAGGTGGTGGCGGGAACAAAACAACGTTACGCGCGAAAGCGTTCAAAACCTCGTCAATCAAGGTAATATTTTTCTTGTACATCATTTTTATACTCTTTTAATCTACATACTAAGATAACATGGCTATCAACGTTGCTGCAGAACAAGGAAGAAAATACTGACATGTCAACAGAATTTTAATTCAGACTGCGATAAAACAAACAAACATATGAGCAAGAAAAATTATTACAAGTAGACTTTTGAAAAAATACAAGGAAAGTAAGACAAGGTATTCCGTCATCATATTAACATAATAATAATCAAAACCGAAATTCAATCAACCTTGGGCAAAATTTGAACAATAGAAAGACCTACAGGGAGACTTCTGAAAAAGTACAAGGACAATAAGATCTGATGTGCTTGAAGGGTTAGCGTCTTCTGCTTCATTAACGACACAAGCAATGAAAATATACTTTCTTTATAGGTCGACTAGAATTCATCCTAGGCGGTTGGTGTATGAACGATGAAGCCTCCACTCATTACAACGCCATTATAGATCAACACACACTCGGATTTGAGTTCCTCAAACATAATTTCGGAGACTGTGGACGACCCCGCGTTGCTTGGCAAATAGATCCCTTCGGTCACTCACGGGAGCAAGCGTCGTTATTTGCTCAGGTACTTTGCACCTTAAAGTAGATGTATTCGATAATGAATGACATACAATAATAAAACTTTAACATATCATCGAAATGTCAATATTACAAACTATTTAATTTCTTTTCGATCCTTGATCTTCCCATTTAAGAAGTTAATTTAGAACAATGATAATCTAAAGAATATTCATGTATCTAGTCCCTTACTCCTAAGACGAAGGGTATCTGCATTCTCAAAATTACCTCTTGATCAATCAATAAATACATTAATATTTTTTCTTCGTGAAGGTAAAGTCTTGAGCAAATAAATCTAATTCTCTGTAAATGATTAAAGAATACATCCTTCGCAAGGACGAAAATTGCACCTAATTTTTCAATGTTTTCTTTGAGAGAACGGATCATAGATGAAAAATAGTAGACACAAACATCAATAATACCTTCAGTTGACCTGCGTGCTCTTCCTTTTTGAATCAAGATGGGCTATGATGGACTGTTTATTGGCCGTCTTGACCATGCTGACAAAGACGTCAGGTTGAACCAAACGAACATGGAATTCGTATGGCGAGGTAGCCCAAATAACCTAGGTAAATTCAGCAGTTATGAACATCAGATTTAGTTGATCTTATTGTGGGCTTGTTTTCTTAAAATCAAGAAAAATATGTTCAATGTACCCCCTGTTTTAAAATATTTAATTTCATTATGACTGGAAAATATATGTCACATCTCATAAGTTTATAAGGCGGTAATGCTCTGTACAAACTTTTTAAACTAATTTTTACATTGTTATTAAAAAGAGTCCTATTTTAAACCATGTCTTAAATTCCAGAATGGGCGGATAAGCTGAAAGTGCATATATATATGTTATATATATCAATCAAGAAACAACAAGAAAATACAAACATCTATACATCATTACAATCCAAACTCAGTAAAACTAAGGCAAAATATAAACAAAGGAAAGATATATACTGACACTCCTGAAAAGTACTAGAAAAATAAGACCATGTGTTCGAAAAGATTATGCGTCTTCTGCTTCATCGACGACAACCGCTATGTAGATCTTGGTCATTCCAAATAGGCAATGTCACTTTCTCCATAAGAACAAGGTATACAACAACGGAACCAGTAGGCAGAATGACGAGCATCAAACATGTCCAGATTCATATACCACAAAGACATAGAATAAGATCGCTATGACGACTGTAAAACTTCGCCATAATTTTCATCATCCTGCATCTTTTGTAACCCTGTGTTACGAGTATGTCCGTCTGTTGACGACTTCTTGCACGAAAATCGTGAGAATCGGATCAGATACTTTGCCGGTTTATTGCATGTTAATAATGTTGAGGTTTATATGTCTAAACAATATATCACATCATTTTATTGTGTTCTACATGTCGCCAGGACGGTCAAGCTGTTTACCATTATATTGCATGTTGACTGTGTCATTGTACATATCTAGGTAAAACGGCCCAGCTGTTTACTGGTGTGTTGTATAATGGTTACGGTCCTCCTTCGGGATTCTGTTGGGATATTAACTGTAAGGATGATCCAATAATGGTAATATATTTTCCTTTAATCTAGACTTTGTTAACATTGTCCACATAAATCCCTCACCGCCGTCGTATACGGAACAAATGATCCCAAATTAATATATGATGAATTTATGTTTTTGTCACTAAAATAGATCTTCTATGGTAAATATGTCGTAAAATTTAAGAAAGGAAATAAAGAATGTGATTGGTTTATATCGGATGAACTCAGCAGGTGTAACAATGTCAAGAAAATAACATTGTAAATTTACCCTTCCCTCATAGGATGACGATCATCTTAATGACAACAACGTGAAGCAGAAGGTTGCAGATTTTATCAAGGCTGCACATGATCAGGTAATACCGACACGAAACTTAACACATACTCGATTTCGATTAAACTATTGCAAAATATAAACGAAAGAAAAATTTACACATATACTTCAGGAAAGGTACAAGGTAAGCATCTCATGCTTCCTCGACAATTGTCTTATGTAAATCTTGGTCATCATAAGCAAGTAACGTTCCGAAGAAGGTTAACAGTAACAGAACTACAAGGCATAAGAATGAGTATGAAACACGCCCGACTTCAAATCGTACAAGGAAATAGAACATATCCCGGTGTTATCTTTATCACGATCATAAAACCTCGCCATAATCTTCATCGATTATCATCTCTTGAAACTCTGTATTGTGAATTTGTCTGCCTGTTGCCGACATTTTGCACGATAAAAATGTGATATTGGGAACAATCTCTTGATTAAGCTATCCAGAAATGGTATTTGAAATAAGTATGCATACAAAAGATATGGTTTGTCAAAGTTCATGCGCCTTGGTGATACGCCTGTGATACCTAGTTGTTAAATGTCTGTGTTTTCCGTCACGTGACCTGAAAAGGAACAGCATTAACACCGATCACAAATTTCACCAACGCAAACTTTTCTCGTAAATCACAAACTTGACTCTTTTTTGCCTTGGTAAATTTTTAAAACATAGCAGTCCTTGCAAAAAAGTTACTGCTCATTTTATGATCAGTCAGGATTCTAGTAAGGAGACATTTTTCATTGAATAAACGCAACTTTACATATTCGCCCGGAAATATTAAAACAATTTTACGAGTAGCATTGATACTGGCCCCATATTCGTTCTGGAACTCTTCAGTGCTGTTCGATGTAATTCATAGCAACTGTAACTAATACTGCAGTAAACACATCGCAAAATGAGCATCGACGCTATTCATTTGTACTTTACAGAAATACATCACTGTTCTTCTTAATTTGTTTGTGTGACGCTATCCGGGTTTATTTTAGGATAAGTCCTCTCAAACAATGACAGCAATTGTCCGAGATATTGAACAAATAAATCTACGTACATAACATTTGGCAACACAAGGCAATGCTAACAGTATCATTATAGATAACACCTCACACACAAAAAAATAGATTGAACAACACGCTAATACACTGACATGTCAGTCGCTACCGACAGCTCAAGGTCGTTGTAAAACAACGTGACGTCATTGAAATGTTTAAATTGCAAAACTATATATAATTTTGATGAATACACTAATGAGTCCCGGACATGGAAGCATCATTAACTCCCAAGCGCGCTGATTTTAAGTTACTTTATCTTCCTTAATGTGAAAAACCGTTACAAAATACGTCAACAACACAGGTGAGAAATTTTGCATTAAAATTCTTGATGAGACCAGTCTTACATAGGTTTTATGTTACAGATGAAACACTATCACACCAATAGCATCATGATGACAATGGGGTCGGATTTCCAGTACCAAAATGCCCACACGTGGTTTAAAAACATGGATAAGCTAATCAAATACGTCAATGCTCAGGTGAGGTTACAGCGAAACAAAATAAATGTTTACAGTTGGTTTTCCGTGACAAGCTGTCATTTTCAGAAATATTTTCAGCAATATGATTTTTTTAGTTTTAATATTCGTCGGTAATGCTGCTCATACACAACTTTCAATAGTTCAGAAATAATTTTTTTCGTAGCCTAGGTGAAGAAAACAACAGGATATAACAAACTTATGAACATGTAAATACTCCAAACTCAAATGCAATATATGGCAAATATGAACAAAAGATATATTTAAACTGAGACTTATGGTAAAGAATAAAGAGAATAAAACCAGGTGTTTCAGAAGAATCCGCGTTTTCTACGTTATCCAGATATCGGCCATGTAAATCTTGGTCTATCCAAGTAAATACTGTTAAATTCTCAAATGAAAATACGACATCCAGTTTAATATCATATCATATAATTTCTCAGTAAGGCCGTTATTAGGACCGTAGAATTTCTCCATAATTTCCATCAATCTACATCGCCTGAAAACCAGTGCTTTGAGTTTGTCTGTCAGTTGAATACATCTTGCACTAAAATATTAGGAATTTAGGAACATGGAATATCGAATCAAGTGCAAACAGGTTGGGGTGCCTGGATGTTGCTTTTCCGAAATGGCAAATTCAAAATAGGACAATTTAAATCATCACGCTTATCATACAGATTGATGTCCATGTTGGTTTCGTTGAAGTCAATGATCATGATAAGAGACTTATGTAAAAAGAGTCTGTCGCGTGGTTTGGGGGATATCTTACAATTTAAAAGCAAGGCGTCTTCAATAAAATATGAAAGTAAAATAAATACCCGGTAATCTAGCACTAACGAGTCCTAAAAGGCCAAATAAGCTATATGATTTAGCAATATGACACAGTTTAAGTCATTGTTTGGCCCTGAAGTTTTTACCTCTAAGTATGTATCAAAAGTTGTTATTCACTTGTGTGTCTTTTGTACAACCTAATATCTAACACCTAAAATAAGCAGCATTAAATTAACATTAACAACATTCTGCTGTTTACAGCAAAGTAACGGAAGTGACGTCAACGTTATGTATTCTACACCGTCCTGTTACTTGGCGCAGAGGAACCGTCTGAATCAACTATGGAACTCCAAGTCGGACGATTTTTTTCCTTACAGTGACCACCCTCACAGTTACTGGACCGGCTACTTCACCAGTCGACCAGCTCTTAAGGACTATGTCAGGCGGACAAACAACTTTTTACAGGTAATGATTCTCGATAGCAACTTCACCCACCGACCATCTCTTCAAGTATAAAAACTATTTCAGGCTGACATACTACAGGTAATGAGTCACATTTGATAGCCAACCGGTCAGGTAGACAACTTCTTATATATACCTTAGAAGATTCATCTATTATCACTTAATTTGTCATCGCCTTTCATTTTGTATTGCCACACAACTTTATAACAGACTTCCAATACAGATATTATAAAGCTGGCAGAATTTGAGAGCTTTGAATGAGAGCATTTATTCTGCCACATTTCTTTCTTTCGTACTTAATTCAATACTCTGTAATTTTATTTGTGTATTTTATTCTAAGATTGTGTTTGCCAATCACTATTGACCTTCAATCGTGTCTGTAATGTATAAAAAGGAAGGAAAAGGCAGAAAGGACGAACATTACAAAACATGAACAGGACTAGAACATGACAAAGCATTCATCGCAGCTTCCATACATCTTTTTTGCATTTTCCCCCTATATTTCTATGAAGACTCAACATCTTTTTTAATTATTTATACACAAATAGAAATGTTGAATTACTTATAAAATTGCAATATATCAAAGCTGACTTAGTCAATGTAATTGATAAATAAGTTTATTGTGTCATTAACAATGCGAAATTCCATCTGAGCGATTGAGTCCTTTCTAGGTCGATTCAAAAGCTTCATATTCATTGATACAACTATACTACTATAATACTGGTAGAATTTATGCTAGAATCTGATCAAGTCGACCAATTTAGAAATATGAGCCAACATGGAATATCTTTGTTCTTGATTGAAAGTAGTATAGTATGGTAGTATAGCCAAAAGGAGATCCTTTTATAGTTTTAATACATTGGTGGAGCGGTGCTGTGCTTTACAACAGTAGCGTATGCTGGGGCTGTTGACGTCGAAGGATTTGTTCCGCCTGTATATTGTCCATCCGGTGTATAGTTAACCATGTATCCTCCGGGATGTTGAGGGTACTGGGCATTCTGTGGGTACTGGGTATTCTGTGGGTACTGGGTTTGCTGAGAGTAGGCAGTCTGGGCAGGGTAGGCGCCAACAGGGTTGACAACCGCTACAAAGAAAACAAAAGTATTTCCTCATTGTCCTCCTCATACTAAGTAACCAGTTTAGTTACCTGCTCTGAATGGAGAAATAGATTACATCGGTGTTTTTATATCTAAATATGGATAATTTCATCTCGCATTGCTTAAACTATGGAAGTAATAATCACAGCAAACAGCGATTAACGTGAAATTATTATACTGATTAAAACATAGATGTTCTGAATTTTCATTGTAATGCTGATGGCAGTAGTTTATACACATATCCTGATTTATGTAGTATCCCAGGAGCTCCTTATACCATGTTGACCTACTTTTGACATCGCTATCCTCACAAATATCCAAAGGTCGAAATATAGATACTTCAAATATGAATGTGAATTTTGTTACCAACAAAAACATTTTGAATACTTCAGAGTATTTAGTGTTACGTTTTTTTTTTTTTTAATTTAGATTTTTTTCTGTCAAAAATAGTAAGTTATGGGTTGTTTCAGTTAACATAATAGTAATAATCATAATTACTGATATTTTAATTCAATACTTCTTGAACGGTTTTTATTCTGTTATATAGATTCTACGGTATATTTTCATTTTAACACAAACACAACAAAGAAAATATTGACATATTTATGGAATCATATTTCAAATATAAATTCGATAAAATGTGGACAAAATATGAGCAAAAGAAAGCTTTACACCATTCGCAGACAATCCACACAGTACTTTTACTCAGCCAATGAAAGTTTATCCGGATCATGAGTCGCGATCTCTTGTTATATTAATTTAACAAAAAAACCACTATGACAGTAAAAAGTCTACTTACGTGGAGCGGTAATAACAGCAGTGGGTTTCGGTTTCCTGGCACGTAGAATTATACGTCCTGAACGTCGTGTTCCTCTCTGAACGCAGACACAGCACACAATGCAGAGAGTGAAGAATGCCAAACCGATAACACTGCCCACGGCAATGCCTGCAATGGTTCCGACCGATCTGCAGAAAATAAGTTTTTATTTCTATAATCTTGGTAAAGACAATCTTCGGAGCAAATACTGTATGTTAAATGGCTGAAATACCAGATAAAAATGTGATAAGCAGAAAGACAAAATACTTGGTGGTTTTTTAACAGTTACAAAAACCTTATATATGATGGCTGAATGAGCAGAAAACCTGATGAACGAAGGACGTAGAAGGTGAAACTGACTGATGGCAATATAGGAAAACAAACCTTATCAGTATTGACTTCGAAATTACCTTATTAGTGGGTTTGGAGGATATCATAATCCATCATATGGTTATCATCATTATTTAAAAGTCGACTATGACGTTTAAGTGAATGAAACGTAGCTCGTCCATGATGTTTAAGTGAATGAAACGTAGGTCGTCTATGACGTTTAAGTGAATAAAACGTAGTTCGTCTATGACGTTTAAGTGAATAACACGTAGTTCGTCCATGACGTTTAAGTGAATAAAACGTAGTTCGTCTATGACGTTTAAGTGAATGAAACGTAGTTCGAGATCCACGTCAATATTATGTCAAATAGAAAGTCCATTAAAAATGTTGATGTATCTGTAAACAAACAGTTACCATAATATTTAAAACAGTAGCATATGATTGTCTTAACGTTGCTTCACTTACATGATGTGAGTGTAACAACATGACGTGGTGTATGTTCCTCCACAGCAATATTGGTCGTAACTACAATATTCCGAATATAATTTGTATTTCACAGTCCCATCTAAGATGTCGGTGTACCCCTCCTGGGCATAACAAAATTCGGCACCAACAAAGGAAAAATCTGTAAAAATAATATTTCATCGAATTAAGGTGAAAAATCACTGATATACAGTGTTGATACCTGTATATACAGTACGTAGTATAGTTATATAATTCTTGATGCAACGATTTTACTAATGCAAAATGAATACTCACTTAAACAGAGAGCAGCTGCAAATATGAAAATAGTTCTATATTCCAGCATTATCCTATTTATCAATTTGCGTCTGTTGAAAGACTTTTATATATTCATATACGTGTTATTAAGCCAGTCATCGTGATAATCAGGAAATTAGTTCCGGGCTCATGTCCGATACAATCTGACATGGAATATGTCTTATCTATACTCAGGTTGTCCCACAGCTTAGAAAAACATATACAAATGTTTAACATAATGGTGTTCAAATATTTCTTCATATCATATTATTAATTACAGATGTTAAGTGTATAAGAAATAATCTCTGTGATGTTGATGATGATGATGATGATGATGATGATGATGCACTTGTGTGAAAGATTGTACTAAAAATCACAAATAAATAAATGTGCGAGTGTAAACATGTTTTAGTATTGTAATATCTTATATGTTATAATGGAAAACTTGAAAAATAGAACAAAGAATGAAATATACATATATAAACAAGTCCTTGTCACACATAAGATGAGTATGTGAACGAGGAAATCGACTTAGTGTTTTAAGCATGATAGTGTTTTAATGGCTCGCATTTGACGAGATATAGGAATCTTACTTTATTAATCTAACTCCATTAGCAAGTAGTATAAGGTATGTATGTATCAAGTTGATTGGTATGTTCTAACACTGTGTGTGACAGCTAGGCTAGTGGTAACGTTGAAATACATAAACAGATAGCTTTCGTAGTGATATCAATAATTCCTTACGAGTAAGATATCGGCTATTGTTATTTTCAGCAAGAGGCAAAACAATGAGAAATGAAACATTATACCTGAACAATATGAATGATTTTTTTCCTTAAATCAAACCTTGATTTCAAATTATATATTTCAGGTGTGTAAGCAGGTGTCAGCACTTGGGTTCTACAGAGGCGAGCAAGTTAATACATTACGTAAGACCTTTACTAGATTAAGACAAATGTATTTATCAACTAAAGCGAAACATTGCATTCTTATTGTTTATCTTTATAAGAAACTAATATTGTATTATCTATCTTTTGACAGAAAATGAATAATATAAAAACAACTGCCTGTACCTATTTAAGTATATTTGTACTTTCGTTTTTACCCGTTTTCTCCTAGGGGAGGCTATGGCTGTGCTTCAGCATCACGATGCGATTTCGTAAGTATTGCAAGTAATTAACCGATGATGGTGGTGATAATGATGACGATGATGATGGTTATGAATGATGGATGATGATGAATGATGGTGGTGGTGGTGGTGGTAGTGGTGGCGGCGTCGATGATGATGATGATGATGATGATGATGATGATGATGATGATGATGATGATGATGGTGAATGATGGATGATGATGATGATGATGATGATGGTGATGATGATGATGATGATGATGGTGATGATGATGGTGAATGATGGATGATGATGATGATGATGATGATGATGATGATGATGATGATGATGATGAATGATGGATGATGATGATGATGATGATGATGATGATGATGGTGAATGATGGATGATGATGATGATGATGATGATGATGATGATGATGATCCCAAGGCTTTGCTTGTTTGCTCGAGAAATCATTCTTAGTGCATACCATTATCTGTTCTCTATGATACAATACAGTCAGAAAATCCCCCTAATTCGATGTTTAAACAGGATTGGTGAAAGTCGGAGAGTTTTACAGAAGTTTTAACATTTTGTTAATTCGTACATCTTCCCTATGTCTTATGTATTGTTATGATTGTTTTGATGAAGTGGAACAGAAAAACAACATGTAGCAAATGATTACGCTCAGAGACTGGCTAATGGGATCAACGAATGTCAGGTAGGCGCAAATTGTAATGTATACACCAGAGTGTTTGTGCTAACTGACTTGGAAACTGTTCTGTGTAATTCACGATAAAACAGTGCACTTTTTATTCGAAGATATAACCTCTCTATAAAGAAATTGTGTTACATGTGTTATACAGCAATGGTATTGTTCCTTTCTTATAGTCAACAAATAAAGATACAAATGTAGTTATTATGTTTGAATAAATATCTCTGACTGTTTTTGTCTTGTGATTAATATATAGTTTAATAATAGTTATATAGATAGTTTTGTTTTGTTTTTTGTTTTTTTTTTTTTTTTTAAAAAAACCTATTGTATTCCATTGATATCAGAAATATCAGTGCAAGTGTTTGTTACTTGTTATTTATTATTTTATCTATTACAGATGATAATGAACGTCGCTTTAAGTGAAATGCTCACTGTTGGTTCCTCTCTCGGACCTCCACAACAAAGCTTCTGTCCCCTTCTCAACATCAGCCAGTGCTGGATGACTGAGAATCATAACCCGGTATAGAGAAATATATTGATCATAGTTTTTAAACACCAATTTGTATCCATGGTGAGATATGTAACTCAGCGATGGTGTCTTTAGTTTCTATAGCATCGTTTAAAGGTGACTATATTACTGTAAACCACTTAGATTTTGCGAATACTTTATTTCGCTGACTTACATCTCCAGAAATATTTGCGAATACATCATGATTTCGCGAATGCTGGTCTGGAAACTACTTCAAGTAAAGTTTGCGAATGATAGGCATGGATGCCATACATGGCTATTTGAGTACAAATTATAGAGATGGATTAAATTCGCGGTTGGATTTCCTTACGTACTATCGCGAAAATAAATCCCACGCGAAATATAAGCGATTTACAGTAGGTTTCAAATTGCTACATCCATGACAATTTTCTTTGTTCTCTCTGAAATGTAGACGGAAATATTCCTCTAAAATGTTATGTATTTATAAGACAATATTGCATGTTTTTTTAGTATATATCTATACCTACCAGGTTGTAGTCCTAGCGTATAATCCCCTCGGTCGAGAGGTTCAAGCATACTTCAGGATACCAGTTATAGGTACCAACTTCTACGTCACGGACAAAGATGGCACTCGTCTAGATGTACAGGTAAGCTATTGCAGCGAGAGCAGATTCGTGTAAACAAACATTTTCTCATGGCATGTTTTAGTCAAATGCTTCTCTCTCAGTCGGATGTTTGTATGTCTTCCTCTGAGGGATCAAGTACGCATCGCACGGTTGCCCCCACTTAACACTTATTTCCTTTAAGCGACTTCATGATAAATTGATTATCAAATATTTCAAGTGTACCGCCATAAATATCAGTTAGTTTTCGCTGAAAGACGCACATTAAGATTTTAATCAATAACAGGAAATATCTTGCTGTTTATCATCAGACTGTAATTTTAATCATATACAACTGTATATAACACATGCACAGAACAAACATCAACTGTAAACAAAATGTCTTCCAGTGTGAGTAAGCTGTAGTAGAAAAGGATTAAGGCCAAAATACGACAAATGGCCAGATTCAAAATTGTGACGTTGCCACCACCATATTTGAAATGTATTTCCCGAACAAACCGAGTAATCAAGCTGGACATAAGAAATAATTTTTGAGTTGCGGGATAACATAGAATCTTGACTGGAAATGTATAAAACACGTACATCCAACAAAAAATGTGTTTCTCGATCGCTTTCCTAATCGCCATTTACGCGAGTTATCCCGCTTGTATCCAGTTCCCGAGTTCTAATATACCATATATAGAATTATAGCTTTAAGTTATACTTAACCATCTTCTTTAAACACACTTAAACAAAAACGCTTCACAGGAAACACTACAAAAGTACATGTATAATAACTTTGTGTTGAGATGCTATTCACCTGTGTGCTTACGCAATTCTAAGGGAACAGATGGTTCCTGCCACTTTTAAGAAAATAAATTAAAGTCGAGATAATGATTTTTTTCTCGATTAGGTTGCACTTTGATTCCGATAGCTGCAGTTCATATAAGCAAACGTCCGCATTTAACAATTAAGTAATATAGAAGTTTAACTTGAAAGATAAACTTGTATTACGATAAAATACAATAGGTTTTAGGTTTTTGTTTCTTGTATCTGCACTATCTGACAAATAAACTGTTTGTCAATACAATTCTGTTGGTTACAGTTTATCCCAGTGTCTAATGCTACACATAAGATCCCTGAACGAAAAGGAACTATGGCTGACCACGACCTAGTGTTCAGAGGACCTCTTCCGGCCGTCGGATTCTATTTGTTTTTCGTTCTAGAAACATTTGATCAAAAAGAAGACGCCCCAGTTAAAGAGAATATTGTTAATGAGGCAGAACCCAAGGCTGACATAATATTGAAAAACGAGGTAAACACTAAAACGTTTGAAGATAAGGCGTATCTTGTTTTGGCAATTGCCTAACCTATTTGATATAGATATTTCAACAAAATCATTTTTCTCCGTCTTACAAGAACGTTCTTTTAATTAAAGCAATGAAACACAGAATTACATATTTCACCGGAATGAAATCATTCATTTGCATTTGTTTTTATCTCGATAGTGCCTTAAACACTTCATTTTTGTTATTTCTCATATTTTTACACAGTTTTCCGTCAAGTGTGTTGCTGATATTGCATTTCAGTTGCCATGGTTTCATAATCGTAACCTATTAGAGATTCTTTTTCAGCATTTAAGCCTGACATTTGATGGAACGACAGGTAAACTGACAAAGATGCAGCAGCTGGAAGACTCATTATCGATAGGGTTAAATCAGGACTATCTGTACTACCTCGGATACAGCGGTAATAACAGTAAAGATGACTTCCAGAACTCGGGGGCATACATCTTCCGACCTAACGGCTCAATTGCCACCAACTTTTCCCAGGCCACCCTTAAGACCAAGGAATATGTAACGTTTGTACGTTTTTAGAATCAAGATTTGTGATAAAAGTCCATGTACTTGTAAAATTTACTTCATCAGTGAGTCTTAAATGAACGAAATAGACGTATGATGCAACTAATATTTATCATTTATCTCTACCATATCAACTTCTACATTTGTACTGAAAATTGCTATTCATTTGTTTGTGTTTGGTACCATCTTTAAGATTGCTGGATGTAGATGCTGCTGAAGGAGTTTTAGACCTCTAGGGTTTCCGAAATTTTTATTTGGCGTATTGATTTATCAGAATAGTTGAATGGTTCTGGAGAGTCTTTAAAATTATCAGACATATGAAAGTTTGAGATTTATAGAATCATGTAGTTAGTGCATATCCACATCTAGATAATGACAATGTTGGTTTTCCTCCATCGCCGCCCATATTTCAAATTCTGAGCCTAAAACATCCCTGACAAGCCATCTGCATGGTGTAGTTTAGATATGTTTTGGTGTCGATTACTTTTTATGGTGCCGTGACCAAGACCTGTGTTACATGATTTTCCCCTGAATTTACATATATTAAACATACATCCCAGGGCGAGGCTATGGTAAGAGAGGTCCACCAACAGTTCAGCCCCTGGGTTTCACAAGTTGTACGATTATACGAACACAAGAAGTATGCGGAATTTGAGTGGACCATTGGCCCTATTCCTATAGAGTAAGTCGAAATTCAATCGCCTTTCTTGACATAATATTTCCAGTTCTGTCATGAAGTAAAAAATAATATTGGAAAACAAAGTTGGACAAGCAAATATGTTTCATTGAAGACATTTACTAGATACTGGAAATACCACAAGGATAAAGAACATTTGATTCCTTCTGTATAATAATTTTATATGTGGATTCGAATTACTGATATTAGCGATTTCGTGTGTAGAAATCATGGAATATGGTCAACCAGTTGACTCCCGTTGCAGATAAACGAAGGAATATCTGATCAAATCACACGAGCATACAGAAATCTTTTTTTTGCACACTTATCAAATAAATATTATTTTACAGTGACGGCTATGGTAAAGAAGTGATATCCCGATTCTCCACCAATCTGAATTCTTTTGATACCTTCTATACAGACGCAAACGGCAGGGAAATACTCCAGAGAAGGTATGTCACTCACCGTAGTCGTGGTTTTGTATTGTTTCGTTATAAAGATAGAAAAGGGGTCACTAGTTTCCGGCTTCCGTACCCTGTACTGCTAGTTACCGCATCCAATTTTGCAGTTTCCGCTTCTTGTCATTATTCCGTTTTTAACACTTCCGCGGTAACAACTTTTTCAGTCATGGAGTATGCAACATTTACTCGGACCACAAAACATTCCGCAGGATTATAATACAGCGTTGGAATGCCAGTGTATGCAAGACATCATTTGGGGTTGCATATAGTTGATTGTCAATTGTGAAACGGACTATAATATGGAATAAACATTAACGATTGATCTCCTGTCGACCTTAATTCAGGTTGCCACATCCTTTACCTTCATCCCCACTAAACTTATTCCCGGTCCCCATCTCTAACAAGATCTTGTAGATTCTTAACCTGAAAGTTAAAGCTGCATAAACATTCGTTTTTTATAATTTTGAAGGAATTCTAAGTATCTATGATTGGCAGGACAGACAGCTTTCCTAATTTTGTCTCCTTTCACTTGCATGTCCATAGTACATTTTTTCCCTCAAACATTGCTGTTTCGATTGTTTATATATTCAAGTAATCAATTTGTTTGTCATCCTATATTTTTTATTAAATGATGACAGTACCTTGTATTTCAGACTCAATAAACAATTTTCCATCCTGGATGTTAAATAATCCGCATAATTTTTGTAACTTTTGTTACTGCGAATAGGAACACTCCTAAAGGTGTGTAACATTTGTACTTTAAACCCAATTAGCAATAGTTAAGTAAATTACAACTATTCAAATCGCTGTATTTATTTATCTGTTTATTTATCTATCTATTTATTTGTTTATTAGTTTGTTTGTTCTTTTATTTTCCCAATATATAAATCGTATAAATGCTCGATCTAGGTACAATCACCGCGATACCTGGACTTTGAACCAGACAGAAGATGTTGCAGGGAATTACTACCCGGTTAACACTCGAATCTTCCTTCGGGTATTTTTTTAATATTTTTAATATAAAAGGATGATTGATGATTGCATTTCAGCATGCTGAAATTAAAAAAAAAAAAAGTAAATGAAGTAAAGGACATTGTAAGACCACAGTATCTATTCAAAATGATAAACTACACATATAATATAACGTTAAAGGATGTAAATGGAGAAAAATATCTGAATATCAAAGTGGATTATTTGTAATATCTGATCAACATTTATGTTGTTAAGGACGAAGCCAGAAATATACAGTTTACCGTCCTAACGGATCGCTCGCAAGGTGGCGCTAGTCTCCGGCCAGGCAGCCTCGAACTGATGGTACATTATATTTAAAGTGCATCGACTATATATAGATATATATATATAAAGTCAGCTGTTCAGACATTTAGAATAACGACAACGAACATACGAAAGATCCTCAATGAAATAAATCTCCCTACATTATTTATTTGTTTCCTACAAAAATTACCTAAAATTAGCGCAATATTTTAAAGGTTGTACATTCGGATTTCTTTCAAATAATCTTATCATATCGTTTCCATATTTGTACGATTTATTTTTCATTGTGTTGTTCTATCGACATATGAAGAGGTCTTTGATTACTTAACGTTACATTGTAAAATTGTTCTTTCCTTAATGATGAAAATGAACGATTCCTCTTACAAAGTATTCTTAACAGAAAGGTTGATAAACTATTTTGAATACTGTAGAACCTCCTTATCTCGAACTCATATAACTCGAAGTACTTCATCGGTCTCGACAAAATTTCACACTTAATATTCGAGCTCACAAAAATAGAATACTCGGACCCCATGGTCCAGTCGACTTCGAAACAATGAGGTCCGATTGTATTTTCTATATCTTAAACTTTGCTGCAGGTTCATCGTCGCCTCTTGGCTGACGATCACAGAGGAGTAGGCGAACCATTGAACGAGACTGGTTCAGACGGCCGTGGACTAATCATACGAGGTTTTCAGATAATAAAATCACTTTATTATGTACATTTGAAATAAGTACATTTTCATTCAATGATTGTTAATGTATTAATCAAGTTGTTTAACGAGCTAAGTGATGTTCATGGAGACATAAGTGACGACATCTTAAACTCAATTTTAATTTCTGAAAAATCACAAAGTAAAAAAATTGTTATACTGTTGCCATTGTTACAGGAAAGCATTACGTGTTCTTGGAAACCATTCCTAAGTCAGCCCGTTGTCACAGAGACTTGGCTCTACAACTGTACATGGCTCCATCTCTCTCTTTTATGGATGGCAATGGGGGACAGGAGGTGTGGATACAGAACTGGGGAGTCAAAGTGAGTAGTTGGGTTTTGCATAACCTCTTACTGGCCAACTATCAACTTCCTGAAATTGTAATTAGCGTGTTCCTTCCCTGAATGTTATGACCATTTTTTCTTAACACATCTACATTAAGCTTTAGTATAACTTTCTGAAATTTGATTATTTAATTGTGCTCAAATTTTAGTGGCGTGTAACATCTTAACGGCAATTGAAAAAGTTTATACGCCAAAAATACCGGTATCAATACATGCATGAACGAGAAATCATTGCTAGAACATATCCATTTATATTTTGTCCTCATCAATTCAATGTTTATGAACTTAAATGTATTGAAAAAATACTGAAGTTACAGCAAAAAGTATTTCCACGCACCATTTATTGATAATGTGATGGTCTCGATTTCATATTTACTTTAGTGGACGGCAATAAAAACACCCTTGCCTGAGAATGTGCATTTGCTGACCATGGAGTCATGGCCTACTCCAGGAACGGATCCTTTGAGAGACAATAACTTCCTGATGAGATTAGAACATCTGTATGAGGTGGATGAGGACCCAGAACTTTCTCAGCCTGTTACACTGGACCTGGTATGGTACCCGCGTATTAGAAGCATTCTAAAGCTGTCGAACTGATGAATCAGTTTCTGTTTGTAATATTAAAGCGCGAATCCAACCATCATTTGTACTTCTACACGCTATAATTGGCACTAAGTAGCAGCATATCAGCCTTCACCAGTGTCACAGTCATTTTAATATAATGTAAACTAAAATTCGTTCATGGTTCCATTCTTGTGCAATTCCTGAATCACAACAAGTCAGTGGTGATGAAATTTCGGGAAACGTGTAATACATTTATAATATAACAGTAACACATTATGTCTTTCTGATTACATGATCAGTATAGTGTTATCGATTTGATTCCAGAACCAGATATTTCAGTTCGGCCTTAAGATCGAGAATGAGGTGACATTAGGAGCAAACTTGCCGTTGTCACAGCTAAGGAGGATGGGCTGGGATATCATTGTCGACAAACAGGTTCCAGGTAAGTATCGAGAGATGGAAATTGATAATGTAGAACGAAACAGGCACTAGGTAAGTATCGATAATTGGAAATGAACAGTGCAGCACAACGAAAAGGTACCAGGTAAGTATCGATAATTTAAAATTAACATTGTAGTACGACAAGAAGATACCAGGTAATTATCGAGGATTGGAAATGAACAGTGTAGTACGACTTGTTTGTAAGTTCTTCAACCGATACTTAAATCCATATAGGGTCACGAAAACATATTCAAACTGATGAAAGCCGCCTTTTATAAAAGTGGAATTCATTCAACCTCGAATCAATATTAAAGTTCTGGTATTTGTCCTTCTACTAGCAAGCAAATTACGTTGTAATACTCTGCAGTTGTGATAATAGAAATATTAGTAAGTATGTTATTCCATTTACTCTGCTTTAAGTATCCGAAAACTATTTTTTTTTAATTACAAAGACCTGCTAGACCTAGAAGGACCTACTAATAAACCACACGTCTTTTTAAGAGTGTATTCATAATACATATATAATGTATGTCAGAAATATGTCGTAATGAAGAATCACAAAAGGGTATTCGTGAACTCTTATTTATGTTGCGCGTTCTGATCCTGGGATATTTTAGAACATATCAGTTTTTGTAAATGATTTCACTGAACCTACTTACATTTTATATTTCTACATATGACAGCGTCCTTTTGAAGATTGTATGAATTAGATGTATATATTTTTATGTTTAGATACTGATAAATCACCGGATACGACACTTCGAGTAGACAATACAACCATTACTTTGAATCCCATGCAGATACGGACATTCGTGGTGACTAGTTTGGAGGACTGATTTCCGCCAGCTCAATCATGTCATGTCTACATTTAAAAGAAATATGATATTTTATAACATATCAACGATTTGTTTTTAGGTGTTTCTGTCTTTTTTTTTGGGGGGGGGGGGGGGGGGAGGGAGGGAAGGGAGGGGGCGGGGAAATAAGACAACAGGTGCCCGGGAAAAATAGTAGTGCAATGGACAGTTTCAATTTTGTCATTGTAAAAAAAGTAGATATTACAGAAATACATGAATATATGGGGGCTGAATAAAAGGGAAATAACTCCAACTCTCTTCATCATCAGTAAAAAAAACCAACAACAAACAAAAGATGCCAAAATCCAACAGAGACAATTTAAGAGAAAAGTGAATACTTTAGTAATGAGAAATATATATATATATCTTATTCTACTGGACCGTTTCGCCCTTAATGCATCAAACACATCCAAACTACGGAAGAAGGCGTCAGAACGTCAGGGTGATTCATCCTATCAACTGATACCGGCGTCACGATGAACAGGAACACAGGAGCTCACAAATAAAAACCAAATAGATTACCAAGTCTGACAGGAAAAAATGGGAATTTTATTACGCGATTTGGGAAGTTAGGTTTCCACCTATTAGTATTAACAGCCTGCGACACTTTATTTAAACTTTATCTTCGCGTGTCACCGTTCTAACGACAGTTGCCCAACAGGTGGCCTGTATTGAGTGGACGGCGGTCTCTGTCGATCAATTTCTTGTGGTTGATAGATGTGAGAAGGGCCAACAAGGGCACATAATTATTCTTTATATATGTGTTTTCTATATTACAGTACATGTTCCCCTGGTGACCTGAGGAAATCATTAACACAGGTCGGTTCGCACTTACCAACACGTGCGAAATTATCTGGTCTGCGTTTCTCTCTCTCTCTCTCTCTCTCTCTCTCTCTCTCTCTCTCTCTCTCTCTCTCTCTCTCTCTCTCTCTCTCTCTCTCTTATTTGGTTTTACCACGGACTTGGATATAACTTTGACACAATATAGCAGCAGTTTAATGGATTAATCAAATAATATTTATGTAATTTTATGTACTACTTTAAGAAAATGCAAATTACAACTGATAAATTGCAAAGTAAATATATTTAAGGTCACTTCTTAAACTCCTAAGAAAAAAAGAGAAGTCGCTAGCATCACAGTTTGAGGTTAATTAACACCGGATAAATACCAGTATAAACAGAAGTGCAAAAGTAAATATACACAAAGGAAAATTAATTTTACAAAAAAGGAGCAAATGATCAGAAATCATTTGAACGACTGTTATGTATATATATATAATGGATGAAGAGATGGGAGATAATTGCTTGGTCTTATCGCTCCATCGCTCACTGGATTAGGTACGATTCAGCATTTAGTTTTACTTATATTGGAACTCTTTTGTATGAAAAGTTGCAAAAAGGAAATGAAAGAAAATTGGAAAGAGGGACTCAGAACTCTGAACAGGTATCGTCATTCCCCGATCACACGACGTTATTTGATTGCATTAGTAAATGTGATTAGTCAATACATCGATCTTCCCAATTATACAAACTTTGTGTTTGTTATTTATGTCTCTACTAAAATGACCTTATTCTGCGTCTCAATGTTAGATTACCTTTGCACTCAAGTGTAAATCCAAATGAAAAAAACATACACAAAAAAACAAAACAAAAAAGAACAATTTAAAAAGTTGCTATTGAAAAAGTATAAGAATTATTGACGACCAGGTGTTCCTGAAATATTAGCGTCTTTTAAGTAATCAACAAAGTAAGTGATGTCGTGTTGTCATATGAGAAGGTTGACAAGTTTTAAAACCACCAAGTATACTAATGATTATTGAAAATGTCTATCTTTAAAACATAGTATATTGTTTTAGTATTGTACCAGGAGCAAGAAAAACATTATCATGTATGATACATCTTTATATTGACAGGTTGTAAGAACGATATCAGGCCCATAAGTATAAAACATTTAAGTACAATGTATATCGAGCTCCTACCTAACATCCCACGATTTACCTTTATGACGAGTAAAGACGTGAAAATTCACAAACCTAAGTGATCATGTAAAGATTTATCACATCATATAAGTTCCAGCAGTAGTTAGGCGGTGAATGCAAAACCGGTCTCTCCTATCAAAGGTCTCTCGTGTTTATAATTCCAGGAAATTAAACCGGACAAATAGCGTAATGTGTCATTGAAGACAAGAACACGGTATTTACTTAGCGGGCAGTGTGTACCAGAGATCGGGAATATACACTAACTTAATTATGTGTGTAGGAAATAACTCAGACCAACTTTCCTCTTTGTACTTGGAAAATAGATAAAAAAAAAAACGCACATCGCTATGATTGTCCTGAACGACCGACTTCGTGAACAAAATATGCATTTGATGTTCAGAATTAAGATATCGGTGGACGATTTTGATAGTTCCGCTTTAACAACTGTTTAGGTCGACCATGAAGCACAACATATATGACAACTGAGATAGCGGCAAGTCAGATCGTAGAAATGAAATGGGCGTTTAAACATTAAAGCCATCAGATGCAGATGCTGTACAAAATCAAGACCAAAGGGTTCCCGATATTTATGAGAAAATTCAAGCGTTTCAATGATTTTGGGAAACTCAAGACCAAAGAGTTTCCTATATATTTATGAGAAAATTTAAGCGTTTCAATGATTTGGGGAAACTGCTTTGTCGATTCCTATAACCCGTTAGAAAAGGAACATGATTTCAGTACTTCCCTCCAATATAGTACACAGTGTATATAAAATTGGTTAAAGATTGTCAAAACTAATAACATTCACTGTAAATCATAAATAAATGAAAATTTCACCTGTGAAAGATCACAGCGAACGACACGTGAAAACGAAAAACATTGAAACAGATTACAAAATGGTTGCCAACAATATGTAGGATTTCATGTCATTCTGGTGTGGGTCACATTTAGCACACAAGCGAATATCACCTTTCAATACTTATTTAGAAATAAGATATTACATAGCCAAACAATAACATGAAAAGCGTCATGTATCTGTTTCAACCTTCTAGGACTTGTCAGTGATACCAATGGCCTGGAATGTCGAAACCTGGGAAGTGAAATAACACGAAAATTCAACAGATTTTAAATAATTCTATCAAGAACTTGTGTCAATTCTGGGCCGTGTCACTACTTAATGAACTCGAACGTGGCTTGCGGTTAAAGCATTAAGTATACTAATTTCCCTTAGTTTACTTACTAGTAACACTTGTTACTTTTATTACTCAGACTTAACAAGTGAGTGTAAAATTTGACTGGTTAGAAAAGTAGGTTATAGTTCGGAAGTGTCCTCTTTAATACATTCCCGGTCCCATGTGAATGTGATCCATTACATTACTTCCCCAACTGTATTCAGTGAGAAGATGCGGTGACAGAGAGTTAGCATTCAGACATATCGCAGTGTTAGAAATTTATGAAATCATTGCATACGGTAATTTCTTCTGGGGTATCAAATGTATGGGTGTCGTAAAAACAAAGTGAAGTCCACAGACAAGTCAGATAGTCGATCGTATTGTTTTTACTGCAAAAACTGAGCAAATCTGAATTTGTCTATACTTGATATCGGATGGGGCATAAGTAGTGGTGACAGGAAGAAAAGATATATTGACACTATAGGTTGATTTGTTATGAAGACTGGCGCTCCTTAACCTTTATTGTATCCCTAACAACCAAGATAAGTACTGTACTTCATACAAGTTCAGGGTAAGACATCAAGGTTAAAAGTTCAAATCAATACACAAATAGCATAATATTTCAAAGTTAACCTAAAGTATCTGTCTTCGTGGCTCTCTTGTATGTGGTTGTGAAGTATAATTCATGTCCTAAGTTTATCTAACGTATCTACCTTCCCAAATCTCTCTTGTATGTGGTTGTGAAGTTTAATTCATGTCCTAAGTTTACCTGATGTATCTACCTTCACAAATCTCTCTTGTATGTGGTTGTGAAGTATAATTCATGTCCTAAGTTTACCTGATGTATCTACCTTCCCAAATCTCTCTTGTATGTGGTTGTGAAGTATAATTCATGTCCAAAGTTTACCTGATGTATCTACCTTCACAAATCTCCCTTGTATGTGGTTGTGAAGTATAATTCATGTCCTAAGTTTACCTGACGTATCTACCTTCACAAATCTCCCTTGTATGTGGTTGTGAAGTATAATTCATGTCCTAAGTTTACCTGATGTATCTACCTTCCCAAATCTCTCTTGTATGTGGTTGTGAAGTATAATTCATGTCCTAAGTTTACCTGATGTATCTACCTTCACAAATCTCCCTTGTATGTGGTTGTGAAGTATAATTCATGTCCTAAGTTTACCTGATGTATCTACCTTCCCAAATCTCTCTTGTATGTGGTTGTGAAGTATAATTCATGTCTTAAGTTTACCTGATGTATCTACCTTCACAAATCTCCCATGTATGTGGTTGTTAAGTAGAATTCATGTCCTAAGTTTGCCTGATGTATCTACCTTCACAAATCTCCCTTGTATGTGATTGTGAAGTATAACTCATGTCCTAAGTTTACCTGATGTATCTACCTTCACAAATCTCCCTTGTATGTGATTGTGAAGTATAACTCATGTCCTAAGTTTACCTGATGTATCTACCTTCACAAATCTCCCCTGTATGTGGTTGTGAAGTATAATTCACGTCCTAAGTTTACCTGGTGTATCTACCTGATGTATCTACCTTCACAAATCTCCCTTGTATGTGGTTGTGAAGTATAATTCATGTCCTAAGTTTACCTGATGTATCTACCTTCCCAAATCTCTCTTGTATGTGGTTGTGAAGTATAATTCATGTCTTAAGTTTACCTGATGTATCTACCTTCACAAATCTCCCATGTATGTGGTTGTTAAGTAGAATTCATGTCCTAAGTTTGCCTGATGTATCTACCTTCACAAATCTCCCTTGTATGTGATTGTGAAGTATAACTCATGTCCTAAGTTTACCTGATGTATCTACC